TCGCCAAGGTGGAGATTTGTTAGGTATGGCTCATAAATATACCGAGAAAGTCTCGTAGTGGGGGTTACGAGTATGTGGGTTGGGGGTACGGCCCCACGGTATGGTATAATGTTATTTTTGTAAATATGTAATAGGGTTTATTTATTATAAATGGAGATGTAACCTAAACCTATGAGACATTTAATTGAATAAAAATTCTAGCGCCACTTAAGGCACTGAGGACATAAGCACATTACTGAACCTCGTTAAAATTCTTGTGTTCTTTCTATTTTCTTTACCCGATTCTTCAACATTTAAGACTTTTAACAACCTTTCATTCCTTAACCAGAGAAAATATGGTGTTTTCTTATCCAAGAGAGACTTTAGATTGCACCCAGGAGTTTTCAGCTTGACCGCCTTGCTTCCACAAAAAAGAAAGTCTGAATAAGTGTTGAAGAAGAAAGACATTGAAAAAGATAAGGTTGGAGAAGAACAATGAATGGGTGAATATGAAAGAACAAAGGAAAGAAGTTGTTTACATTTACTTTGGGTATGTCACTGCTTATTCATTCAGCTTCAACATGTATTGCCAGTTTATTAAAGAATGTTGAAGTATGAAGAAAAAAGAAGGTTGAAAAAGCAAGGTGAATGTTAAACAAATGATTAGTTAGCTATAATAAATTTGCCATAGTTTGTCGAAGAGATTAACTAGTTAGTTTGTTGGTTATTAGTTTGGATATAAAAGCCCACTGATGTAATGGGTTCAACATCCATGTATTGCAATTTACTTCAATTCAGAGTACACTCAAATGTTCAATGTTTATTCACATACTTCTATCACTGGCCGTTCTTCATATCCGGCCACCATAGCTGCTTTCTCACATTACTATAAAAAGTACAAATATCATGCAAAAAAAATTGATATTGAATCAACCATCTTTATACTATACAAAGCTGATATGTAATCTAATCAAATTTATCTATATATTTATCATACAATTTGCACCGGACTATCTTTTTAATAAAATTCAAAATTTATGCTTCACAATGAATCATTTGATCGAATTATCTCTTATTTCGCTTCTCTAAAATGAGATAGATGGATACATTTTAAGCTAATCTATGCAAAAAAAAAAAGACTAAAGTCTTACCTCTTAAATAGTACACGTCCAAGCCAATTCATGTTCCTAAGAGAACACAATTCTCTTCAATAATACAAATTTAATAATATCGAGTTTGGATAAACACCGAGAAAGATTATTTTTTGTAAAATGGTATGTGAAACCTCTATACTTTTAAAAAAAATTAATGTGTCTTCATATTATTTTTCTTTTAATGTGGTCCTTCAATTCAAAAAAGAAAAATTAATGTGACTCTTAGACCAACAATAATGTAAGTCCTTTACCATTAGGATGCTCTAAGTCAACCATATGTTTATGAAAAACCATCTTCATTTTTTTTCCTTCCCCTTCAATAACTTCTCATGCAACTTAAAATTGATTATTTCCATCTCTATTGATGACCACAAGCAGTATTCACTTCATAACATATTTGAGAAACCATTCACGTCAACATGAATTAACGGAATCGTTGGTCAATGATAAAAAATATTGGTCAAATGATCACACTAATTTTTCCTTAGTTAAAGAACCATATTAAAAGAAAAAAAATAGTATGAAAACTACATTGATTTTTCTTTAAAAGTAATATAGAGATTTCACATACATTTTGACTTAGTTTTTCTTAGATTATACTCTAGACGTTTAAAAAATTAAATTTTACCCAATCCTTATTCATTTCTAGTCCTAGGTCATTCATATATATATATATTCGTTTTTAAATATATATATATATATATATATATATATATATATATATATATATATATATATATATATATATATATATATATATATATATATATATATATATATTCGTTTTTAAATATATATATATATATATATATTCATTTTTAAAAATATATATATAAATTAAAATTATTTTTTTGAAAATATTTAATTTAAAAATTGATAAAAATATTTAATTTAAAATTTGATAAAAATATTTAAAAGTGTATAAATTAAAATTTGTTCAATTTATAATTAATAAAAAAATTGCTGGATTTTATATTAACTAACTATAATTATATTTCAATGCAATATTAAGGATTTATAGCATACTTTACCTCTAAATCCAATAATAATTTGTTGATCTTCTTTATGAACGATATAATCTTATTACAAGATATAAAATCCCAATAATGAAAGCGGTATCCGTAATTCATGGTACTTTTTCTCGCAGCATCTCTCATTCCCTATCTCTTCGAGCCCGCTATCCGTCGGTTTCTGGGGGTTAAGGTTAGTGCTCTTCATTTGGGTTCTTCTAATTGTCTTCCTTTAATAGTTGTTTCATGTTGCTTCGGTGTGAATTCTGATCTGGGTTTTTGATGTGATTTGTTGCTGCTTTCTTATTTTCTTCCCTATGTTTCCTACATTGTCAGTTCCACAAACTAATTGCAAATTTATGAATTTGATATGAAATTCTGATCTGGGTTTGCGGAACTCGTAGTTAGATTTGAACGTGGATCTTTGTCCCTAGGAAAATGAATTTGGAGACAGAAATGGGTAAAAGGAGTAACCTCATTTTGATATGCCAATGCATTCACTTCACCATTTTGAATTTAGGATTTTAAGCTATTTAGTGTGTAATTGCTGGGTTAAGATTGGCTATTATTTTTTGATTACTTATAGGTACAGTTTTAATCGCTATTGGTTAGTATGTTTTTCATCTTAATTGAGCAAGTCTTATATATGTGAATGATGATAAAAAAACCCATTTCATCTCTTTAATGGGTCAAAAATCGTTGGCCAGAACAAGTGATAAAATCAATTAAAGGCCGTGTAGAAATTTCTGGTTCAACTTGATATTCCATTTGTTTTGCATGCTCTTGTCCTTGTTGGTTTTGAATTGTCTTTTATTTTGATTCATTTTTCGCATTTGATTATGCAATGGGTTCTGCCTTTAGCAGTTAAAACATGACTGATTCAAAGCCAGAGCAGCCTTTGATTCCACCATCATCTCGGAAGCTACCTGATTTTAAGAAATCGGTTAAGCTAAAATATGTGAAGCTTGGATACCATTACTTGATTACGCATGGAATGTATCTCTTCCTTTCTCCTCTTGTAGTTATAATTGCCGTGCAGCTATCGACATTTTCTATCGGGGATCTTTATGATCTTTGGAAGCATCTTCAATACAATCTCATTTCTATCATCTGCTCGGCTCTACTTGTTTTCTTTTCAACCCTTTACTTTCTAACTCGACCTCGTCCTGTTTACCTTGTCAACTTTGCTTGTTTCAAACCGGATGAATCTCGGAAATGCCCCAAAAAGATCTTCATGGATCGATCTCAATCAGCTGGGACATTCACGGAGGAAAACCTTCAGTTTCAGCATAAGATCCTTGAAAGATCCGGGCTTGGGGAGTTGACGTATCTTCCAGAGGCTGTCCTCAACATTCCACCTAACCCGTCAATGAAAGAAGCTAGAAAGGAAGCAGAGACTGTTATGTTTGGTGCTATTGATGAGCTTTTGGCTAAGACCTGTATAAAACCCAAAGATATCGGGATTTTGATTGTGAACTGCAGCTTGTTTAATCCGACACCATCTTTGTCGGCCATTGTTATCAACCATTACAAGCTTCGAGGGAATATTCAAAGCTACAATTTGGGAGGCATGGGCTGTAGTGCAGGTTTGATCTCAATAGATCTTGCGAAGAATCTTCTTCAAGTACATCCGAACTCCTATGCGCTGGTTATCAGCATGGAGAACATCACCTTAAACTGGTACTTTGGAAATGATCGCTCGAAGCTTGTGTCCAACTGCTTATTCAGGATGGGAGGGGCAGCAATACTGCTCTCTAACAAACACTCTGACAGGAGGAAATCCAAATACCAGTTGGTTCACACTGTTCGTACCCACAAGGCCGCAGATGATAAATGCTTTGGCTGTGTTACCCAAGAAGAAGATTCTGTAGGAAAGATTGGTGTTACTTTGTCAAAAGATCTCATGGCAGTTGCTGGTGATGCTCTAAAGACCAACATCACCACATTGGGTCCCCTGGTTCTTCCAATGTCTGAGCAGCTGCTTTTCTTTGCCACGTTGGTCGGGAAGAAGCTTTTCAAAATGAAGATCAAGCCATACATTCCGGATTTCAAGCTAGCTTTCGAGCATTTCTGCATTCATGCTGGAGGAAGAGCTGTTTTGGATGAACTTGAGAAGAATTTGCAGCTATCCGAGTGGCACATGGAACCATCGAGAATGACTCTTTACCGTTTTGGCAACACCTCAAGCAGTTCTCTTTGGTATGAATTGGCGTATACAGAAGCTAAGGGTAGGATTAAGAAAGGGGACAGAACATGGCAAATAGCATTCGGTTCCGGATTCAAATGTAACAGTGCAGTGTGGAAAGTTTTGAGGACTGTAAATCCAGAAAAGGAGAAAAACCCATGGATGGATGAGATCCGTAATTTCCCAGTTGATGTCCCAAGGGTGTCTACCATCTAATTTCCAGATTGTCTTGATGCTGTTGTGGGATTATTCATGGTGTAACAAAATTAGAAAAAGCTTAAGATATCTTTCAAAACTTCATCATTGATCTAGAGATTGAATTGGAATTGGAATGAGAAATAAAGCAAATTTGTTTGAACTTTAATTCGATTGTAATCACAAATTAAGAGAGGACATTCTCGTTATCTTTGTTATCTTCGGGTTCTATGCGGCGAATGTCGCAGATTTAGTTAGTTCTGAATTGGCAAATATGTTCCCTTACTCAGCTCTCATGTGCCTTGGAATGATAATCGGGGTCTAGAAATCGATCCTCAGATCATAAGAGCAGCAAGCAACTGTGAGCATAGACTGCAGAACAAAAGATTCAATCTAAAAATCATGAAATAACATCTACAATAATGACCTTAAAACCAGTCCAATATGTTAACTACACAAAAGCAACATGTTCAGTCAATCTGTAAATCAAAGCCAATGTATCGAGTCCGAAAACGAAAATACCAAAAACAAACCGTTTTAGACCTAAGCTTCAACATTAGCTAAACGCATAAACACGTTACCTAAGCTTCAACCTATTCAGTTTCAAGCTCACATCAAGGAAATGCAGCTCAGATATTGGCTTGACAAATCTCTGCAAGCGATAAAACACTATATTCTATTCCTTGGACGACTTGTTGATCAGTGACTTATGGATATGAGGGATCACACCACCCCCGGCAATGGTTCCCTTAATCAGGGTATCGAGTTCCTCATCACCACGGATAGCAAGCTGCAAATGTCTAGGGGTAATACGTTTCACCTTAAGATCCTTGCTTGCGTTTCCGGCCAACTCCAACACCTCTGCAGTCAAATATTCCAGGATAGCAGCAGAATAAACCGCAGCCGTGGCTCCTACTCTCCCATGTGCTGTGGTCCTCTGCTTTAGTAGACGATGGATGCGACCCACTGGGAACTGCAGGTTTATAAATTATACAAAAAGCTCAACAAATGGAGGAACAATATATCATATGAAACTCCAACCTCTAGTTACATCTAGTGATTTACAAACAACAACCAACACAACTGATACTAATCAGTCAGAACACGTAAAGCAGTCGGATCGAAACATCGCGATACCGATACTGTCTGCATCCCGACAACATAAACACCTGTTACTATATAGCCTTTTAGAGCCTGTTCCATTTTAAACAACTGTAAATTGTTCTTGCCAAACCTGCTAAAGACACATTAATTAACTCCAGGCATGTTGAATATCAGAAAGAAGAGTAATTAAAGACCCAATAATCAACTCAAATCCCGGCACTAATCTACCCCCACCCACACAAGCTTTAGGTGCTAAAATTGTATTCCCCCAAAAAAAAAAAAGACCCCAAACAAGAATAAGGTTATGGAAAAAGGAAAACAAACGGTGCAAAGAGAGATACCTGGAGACCAGCTCGAGAAGAACGAGAGATGGGTTTTTTCTTGTCTTTGTCCTTGTTGGAAGCTAGGGTTTTTCCGGTGGTCAAACCTTTGGCGCCTTTACCAGACATCTTTCCCACCGAAAACAGAAGTAACCCAATATAATTAGAGCCAAGCGGAGGATAGAATTTGTTCGCTGGGAGACGAAAACAATGGAAAGCTAAAGGTTAATGTTTGCGGTCACAGGCTCGAGGACGGGATAACATAAAGCAATTTATATATTCCAATAAAGATGACCTCTCAAGGAAGGCACGCACCTTTACTTAAGTAATCCTGTTGTTTCCGTAAAATTACAATATTGATCCATCCAGTTTTCATTGGGATAAAGCAATGTTTAGGGTTGAATTTAATGGTTTCTTTTTTACTTAACTAATTTTATAGGGATAAAGTAATGTTTGGGGTTGAAATTTAATTTTTTTATTTATATAAATTAGTGATATCTGATTTATTCCTCGCTCAATTCAGATCAAGTAGAAGGGCCACTCCCTCATTGGTACCTTGATGTAACTTGAACTGAAAATACTGCTCTCTAATGAATTTATGTGATAAAAAAAAAGTTATACAGCTCCACTGCGTCTGAGTTTTCATATTCAACCATATGGATGCACTGGAATACAAAACTCTACTGCTTACAATTTCCTTAATTTTATCAGTTTCCGGTAAAGAAGAGACCAGATCTGCTACAAAAATGGTAAGGTCAATGGTCAATAGATTATCCAAGTATCAAGCGAAGGCAACTACCAAGAAGATAACTCATCGTGTCTCTTAAAAGTGCAACTCATCACGTCTCTTAAAAGTGTAGAAAGGTTATAAAAACATACAAGGGTAAATACTACATATGCATTTTGGGGCCTGAATTTTGTTCCATGGTTCAAGCTAAACTTAAGATTTAGTTTACTACTTTTTGAGTGTAGGAATAGGTACGAGATATGAATTCAATGAGTTCTGACTCTAATTTAGAAGGTCGTTTTTATTATAAAAAAATAAGTTTGGGTTTGAATTTATGGTGAAAATTGTTGAAATGCATGCATCACCAAAAGTGTCAAGCAAGTTGGCATAAATAGTCAAACAAAATTAATGCACCGAAAGTTTGCTTGGTTTTTAGTTGAATTTGGACAATGGTAAAATCATAATTTAGTCATTGTATTTTTAGGGTATTTATAAGATTAGTCCTTAAGCTTCAACTATAAATACCCTAGCTCATTTAGCTTCAAAATCATCCCAAATCATTCTAGCTTTCTCCCAATACTAGAGAATTTAGAAAGTTTTCTTGAGAGTTGTTTTCTCATTTTTATCAAGAGCGAATTATATTGTTTTCTCCTTGGTAGATCGAGAGAAGTTGTAATTCATATTTTCTCATAGTGAAATTCTTCTACCGTTGTCCGTGGTTTTTACCCTATATTATTTAGGGGTTTTCCACGTAAATATTGTGTCTCTTTTATCTTCATTTTTATTTTCTCAAATTATCAGTTGTGATTTTGCTCTATACGATAGTCGTCTTCCGCAACAATTGGTATCGGAGCCAGATTTGAGTGTGTAATATTTGCATATTATCTTTGTGGTTGCCATCAAAAGGTGGATCCTCCAACATAAGAAAGTAAGAAGTTATTACCCATTCTTTGAAGATTCCAGAGAACTATTCACGATAGTGAAATAGTGGGAGTTATCTGTAAAAGAAGCTATGGCAGCGAAATTTGATATTGAAAAATTCAATCGGAGAAATTTCTCATTGTAGAAATTGAAGATGAAGGTCATCATGAGGAACAGATGTGTAGCAGCTATCAGTGAAAGGCCGGTAGATTTTACAGATGACACCAAATGGATCGAAATGGATGGGAATGTGTTGAAACATTTTGATATTTCGATATAACAAATTAAGTTAAATGGATTTTAAGATTTTCCAAATGATTTTCTAAGTATATTCGATATAACTATTCGAATATCAAAACATTACTCCAAATATTTCAAAAATCATTTTTAATCCTTACTTAAGTGTAAAATTAAGTTTTAATCATAAAACAATTTCAAAATAATTTTACAAAGTATTTCGAACCAATTCAAAGCCAAAAATTCCAGATTGCTCATAGGGAACCAATTCCCCCCATAGGAGGAACCGATTCCCCCCTGAATGGTTTGGCTCCGAGATTTCCAGAATGCTCGGAGGGAACCGATTCCCCCATAGGAGGAACTGATTCCCCCCTAAACAGTTTTGTTCCGAGAATTCCAGTATGCTCGGAGGGAACCGATCCCCCCCAAGGGGGTACCGATTCCCCCCTTGTACAACGGTCGAAATATTTGAATTTTACACTTAGGAACCGATTCCCTTCAAGGGGGAACCGTTTCCCCCCACGCTCCAAGCTGTTTTATTAAATGTTTTCACACTAAAACGGCTATAATATCTTCTCTAATCATCCCCAACGTTCAGAAGTGATCCAAGGTGTATTTAAGCAAGCTTAGAAGCCATTGATCAATAACAAGAAACATCAAGCAACTAGAATCAAGAGAGAATCAAAGAGAAAGCATCAAACCTCAAGTTTGAGCATTTCAAGCCTATTTCATTCAATATTCATTTTGCTTTCAAGAACACTTTTTGTGCTCAATTGTATTCATCTTTGAGTGTTCTTTTCTTTGTTCTAGAATTGTGCAAACATCTTACCTTGTGAGGTTTTCTTGTAAGTTTGCAAATTTGTAATCTTCTCTTTGAGAAAAGAGTGTTCTCAAGAGTTGGGGTATACTCTTGAGGGAATTGTAAGGTTATCTCTTTGGCCTCAAAAGAAAGAACAAATTAGTGAATTTGTTGGAAAATCCTTAGTGTGGATAGCTAAGGTAGTGGACGTAGACTTTGTTTGAGAAAGTCGAACCACTGTAAATCGCTGTGCAATTACTTTCAATTTTCTGCAAAAACTTCCACAAATTTTTTATTGCCAATTCACCCCCCTCTTGGCCAATTTCGTCATTCGATTAACTCAACAATTGGCATCAGAGCCTAACTCATTTGAAGGTTTTATCACCTCTTGAGTAGATTTGGGAAGAGTTATATCGATTATTAAAGTCATCAATGGCCTCCGCTTCAAACTTCGACTCCGGTCTCGATTCGATGCCCGTCAACAAGCCTCCTTTCTTCAATGGAGCTAACTACGCCTATTGGAAGAATAGAATGATGTACTTCATTCAAGCAAGTGACATGGGAGCATGGAATGCCGTAGAAGAAGGATACATTAAGCCTATCACTCATCCAAGGTTGTGGAGTGAAGGAGATACAAAAATGTTCCAGCTCAACTCCAAAGCCATCCATATTATCTTTTGTGCTCTTGGACCAGATGAATACGGAAGAGTTTCATCGTGTACAACCGCCAAAGAAATATGGGACAAGCTTCAAGTCACACATGAAGGTACCGATGAGGTAAAGAAATCAAAAATTAGTATTCTAACGCATAGCTATGAAAATTTCAGGATGAAACCAAATGAAGACATCAAAGCTATGACGGATAGATTTTCAACGATTGTCAATGGTCTCAAATCATATGGAGAAATCATCTCAAATGAAAAGCTTGTGAGAAAGTTAGTCTACTCCCTCCCAAAATCATGGCAATCAAAGAAGACGACAATCATCGAGTCTAAGGACCTATCGTCCTTAACTCTTGAAGAACTTATCGGTTCACTCCTCACTCATGAGATGATGCTTGAAGATGAGGTGGACCTTGATAAAGTTGAAGAGACACCAAAGGAGAAGGAGAAGAATAAAAACATTGGAGTTGCTCTCAAATCCACAAAAGATGAGAGTGATTCTAATGATGATGATGATGACGAGGAAATGGCATTGTTTGCCAAACGGTTCAGAAAAATGATGAGACCTTACCGAGGAAGAAATTCAAACGAAATGAAGGCCTCAAAGATGAACCAAAAGAGAAGGACCCGATCATTTGCTATGAATGCAAAAAGCCAGGGCATGTCAAATATGATTGCCCACAATTGAAGAAGAAGGGTCAATCAAAGAATAAGCACAAGGCTCATGTGGCTACATGGAGCGATGAAGAAGGTTCCGATGAAGAGGAACAAGAAGTAGCAAACTTGTGCTTGATGGCATTTGGGGAAGATTCTAAGGTAACCTCTAACTCATCCGATTTTGATGATTTATCTTATGATGAGTTATTTGAGGAATACAATGGGTTGGCTTCGGATTATGAGAAATTGTTTTTAAAATATAAAATGATGTTTCAAAATTGAAAAATGAAAACAAACTCATATCCAAAACCAACAACGATCTTGAAAGTAAAATCAAAGATTTGCAAATCAAACTAGAAGAGTTTGAAAAGAAAAATTTAGATTTGCAAAATTTACTTTCAAAGATCAATGATGATCATCAAAAGAAAATTGATGATCTTAAAACTTCTTTGATAAAGTTGGAACAAAACATTTTGAAAAAGGTGGAAATTCAAAATCCAACTTTGTTAGAAAAAGTTTTAGAAACTACAATCATAGAGGTCCCCAAAGAACCTCTAATGGAAAAATCATTAGAAGTATGTGGGTTCCTAAAGAACTCATTACTACTAAAGATAAAAATATCCTACACAAATGGATACCTAAGGGGACTAGGATTTTGGAAACTAATGAATATGGACCCAAAAGAATTTGGGTACCAAAAATCAAAAATTAATCTATGTTTGTAGGGAAAGGAGCATTGCTACAAGGCACGTGAAACAAATTCAAATTCATGGTACCTTGATAGTGGATGCTCAAGACATATGACCGGAGACAAAAGCCGGTTCATTGAGCTTAACGCCAAAAATGGAGGAGAAGTGACTTTTGGAGACAATTCAAAGGTCACATTGAAGGTATTGGTACAATAGGTAATACCTCTTCCATACAAATTAAGAATGTTTTATATGTGAATGGATTAAAGCATAATCTATTGAGTATTAGTCAATTATGCGATAAAGGATTCAATGTCTTATTTGAAATTAATGGTTGTAAAGTCATTGACATTGCATCTAATCGGATTATGCTTGTTGGTCATAGAATAAGAAACATTTACATGGTGCATTTAGATTCTATTGATATGACTAATTTATGCCTAGTTGCTAAGGATGAGCATGATAGTTGGTTATGGCATAGGAGACTAGGTCATGCTAGTATGAGTGTTTTGCAACGATTAATTCAAGGAGACTTAGTAAGAGGATTGCCTAAGCTTAAATTTGATAATGATAAAATCTGTGATGCTTGTGCTAAAGGAA